ATGTTAGTAACTATGAAGGAATAAAATGATGCATGACTTGCTTCTCCAAGACTATAGACATGAGTTCTATTGTTTTAGTGGCCAGGCCACATGGAGAAATTCAATATTAAGCAATTAATTTATAGGAAATATTTGATTTTTATAACCTAGATGAGGTTTTTTTTTTTTTTTTTTTGTGGCTTTAGTCAGCACTTCTGCTTTGAAAGCAGTTCAATTTCATTAACATCTGTACTGAAAAGGTATAGCAGGGTGGTGGTGGTGCACACCTTTAGTCCCAGCACTCAGGAGGCAGAGGCAGGTAGATCTCTGTGAGTTCTAGGTCAGCTGGGTCTACAAAGTGAGGTCCAGGGCAGCTGGGGACACACAGAGAAACTCTGTAAATAAAACAACAACAACAAGAAATCATGTATAATGAATGGGCTTGACACTGAATCACAAAGACAGGCTAGCCTAGGTACAGGAATGTTTGTTTTTGTTTAGCCCAGGCCCAATTAGTGTTGAGGTTTAGCAATCCAGGGACAATTCTCATACTCATACATTCCCAGTATCCTAACTCCTCAGTGTGATCAAGAATGGTATTTCCCAGTGGGGTAACATTCTTCTTTCCCACCCCTCACCCTATGCCTTCATCCTTCCTGGGATCACCTTCCAAGTAGACTACTTAAACCCAAATCTCAAGGATTTGCAGGAAGTTCAAATAGCAAAGCTGATCCAGAAATATCCCTAGAAAAGAACTTTGTGGGCACCAGCATTTACAATTACAAAACTGGAATGAAGCCAGGCAATGATAGCAGACGCCTTTAATCCCAGCACTTGGGAGGCAGAGGCAGGTCAATCTCTTGTGAGTTCAAGCCCAGCCTGGTCAACAGAGCAAGTTCCAGGACAGCCAGGACTACACAGAGAAACCAGTCTTGAACCCCACTCTGCTGCCCCCCCCCAAAAAAAATTAGAATGAAGAAAAAGGCAGATTCTAACTAGCCTCTATTACCTCAGATGTCCCAGAAATATTTAGATGCAACAAAATGTGCTCAGAATCAGGTCCAGGGACTGTAAAGGTTATAATGAAGACGAAATTCTCAAATATCATGCCTGGGAGTCCTTGTCTGATCCAGTGCTCTAGTTGGAAAGAAACGACCTATCTGGGTGGACCTTGATTTCCAAAATTCCCCTCAACTCTAGGGTCACACAGATGTAGCTGACATTCCCTTCACCTCTCATCACCTGGAACATGTCTTCTTTTGAAAGAGGCCTAGCAAGGCTTGTTGGTTGTTCTAGAGACCTGTGTCTACCCACCTCCAAATCAGTATGAAAAGTAGTGTTCCTGGGTCCCCGTGACTCCACTTAATGTAATAGCTGCTGCTTTCTTGCTTTGGATTCTTCAAGTCACTAAACAAGCAGTGCAGGAGAGGAGTGGCCACACCAAAGAGGGTGACAACTCAATTATCACACAGAGCTGGGACCAGTGTGCTATGTTAGGGGCAAGAAGTATTCAGAGGAATGCTTGGTGCGGACAAGGTGAGCAGGGCTGACCAACAAAAGGGATAGTTGAAGGGGAAATCTAGAATAAAGAAAAGGAGGGAGATAAAAAAAAAATTCCTTGTGGCTTCAGTACAGTTTCTAACAGTAAAGAATATAGCTTGTCCTTCTAACCTTCTAGTTGTTGGTATTTTTGTCTATTTTATTGTTTAAAAAAAGACTACCATACACTGTCCTCAGAGAGAAGAGTCTAACATGGTGCACATAATGATAAAGGCTGAATGGGGTGTACTGTAGGAGATGCCTACAGGTTGCTTTAACATATTATCCAGATGTACTTTGAGATATAATTTACATATCAAATCAACCCCTTTGAAATGTTTGACTCAGTGGCTTTTAGTATATATACAATATTGTATAGCCACTACTACTAATTCCCAAACACCTAAACTAAAAAACAAATCCATTTAGAGTCACCCCGTCTCTTAGATTTGCTTATAGTCAGTCCCAACATGTGGCTTCCAGACTGTCTGCGGGTAACCTGACTAGAGGGAGAACTGATCCTCATTTAGAGCAGGCTAGACACAGCAAGGAATTAGTATCTCAGATTTGTCACACTTCAGTAGAAGTATTCTGAGTTGTTTCTATAAGTGTTTCAGGTTCCAGCAGGGCAGTCTTGGTTGCTTGTGTGGTAATTTAACCTATCTCAATTCCTGCCTCCTGAAGGAATCCCTAAATAAGCCACCTGTACCCAGACCCTTAAGGCTTTCCTCAATAAGGTTATTGTGGGATCTTTGTCACGTGCTTTGCTCAATCCTGATGTAATATGTCTTTTACCTTAAACATCACAAGGGGCCAGGGAGATGGTTCAGCAGATAAAGGTGCTTACTGCTGTCTAGTTGCAAGAAATCCCTTTATCCAAAGTCTGGCATTTAGACAAAGCCAACATCCCCTCAGGGACTTGAGAAAAATAGTCCCTATCTGATAAAAGGAAGCATTCTCCTTATCTCTGGCAAATGGGACCCCTGGCTCTTCCATTAACTGTGGTACCTATTAGCTATCAAGGTCTGTGCTATCTTCTAGGTTCCTTCAATCCCTACTCACAAGTACCTGTTATAAACTTTAAAGTCTTCCACCTCAGTTTACAGGTTCTCCTCCTTCCGGGTATCTGTTCCCTTAAAACCCTGTAAATCCCATCCATTAATCCTCCAGCCCTGCCTGCCGGGGCCCCCCCCCCCCGCCCCCACTTTTCCGAGAGACAGCCTTGGTGGTTTGGAATAAAATTTTCCCTTTTAAAAAACCCATGGAGCAGTTATTTTGGTTTCTTTACGGTACCCATTTCATTCATCTGGTAGCGACCCTAACCCTAACCCTTTTTTCATTTCTTTTTTTTCATTCAGCTGCCAAGTCTGATGACCTGAGTTAGATCCCTGGAATCATGGGGAGAAAACCAACTCCCACAGGGGAGAGAACCAACTCTGACTTCCACATAAACACTGTGGTGGGGGTTGGGAATTTAGCTAAATGGTAGAGTGCTTGCCTAGCAAGCACAAGACCCTGGATATGGTCCTCAGCTCCGGGGGTTGGGGGGACAAATAACATAAACACTGTGGCATTCACACCCCACACACATACACAGAGAATAAATACACATAAAAAAATTCCATGCTGGGCGGTAGTGGCACACACCTTTAATCCCAGAACTTGGGAGGCAGAGGCAGGTGGATCTCTGAGTTCGAAGTCAGCCTAGGTTACAGAGCGAGTACCAGGACAGCCAGGGCTACACAGAGAAACCCTGTCTTGAAAAACAAAAACAAAAACAGAACAAAACAAGAAACTCCTCAAATTTACTGTATTTCTCAATTTAACCCCTTAAGGATTTATTTTATGAGTATATATGTGCACCATGTACACATGTACACATGTACACATGTACCTGTGGAGGCCAGAAGTGAGCATCAGATCTGGAATTGAAGTTATAGTTTGTTGTAAGCTGTGGAGGCCCACAAAGGTTTCCTAGTGAAATCTGAGTTTGCTTTACCCAGCAGGGATGCATTAGAGGACTGCTTGACCATGTGCATGGTTACTAGGTGACTGGAAGGGTCTACACTTGGCTGAGCTAGGGGGAGGTTTTTACTCCACCTCTTGGCATTCCTATAAATAGTGTTGTTCGAATGTTAAATGTCCTTATAATGAAAAACCCAGAGCCAGATATTGAGGTGAAAGCTGAAAGATCAGAGAAGCAGAGCAAACCACAGCCACCATCTATTACCTCACCAATTCCACAAATCCTCTGACTGAAATCCTTTGAGTCCTTACCTGAAAGGGTCTCAGCTGAACTGCTTTAGTTCCTGTTTCTTCACACCTTATATACCTTTCTCTGCCCTGCCGTTACTTCCTGGGATTAAAGGCCTGTGCCTCAAAAAATAAAGAATTGGTAGAAGACACTCTACATTGATCTGTGTACACCCCCCCATACACACTCTCTCACACCCACACCCACACCCACGCTCGCAAGGGTATGTATATCCCCCCCCCACATCAATAAACACACATACACAGATACCATATATATTATAAAGGATTTCCAAAGCTTTTTTTTTTTTTTTTTTTGCTTAGTCTCATAATTAGTAATTTTTAAAGTATAAAAGTTAAGCTGAGCAGTGGTGGTGCATGCCTTTAATTCAAGTACTCGGGAGGCAGAGGTAGGTGGATCTCTGTGAGTTCAAGGCCAGCCTGGGCTCAGAGTGAGTTCTAGGAAAGGCACAAAGCTACACAGAGAATCCCTGTCTCGAAAAACCAAAAAGAAAAAAGTTAAATGACAGTTATAAGTACAAAAAAAGAGGAAGTTATATGATGACTTTCACTTTTCTTTCTTTTCTCTTATTTTATGAGTATGAGTGTTTTGCATGCATGTATGTCTTAGTACCACACAAGTGCCTGGTGCTTATGGAAGTCAGAAGAGGGTGTCAGAACCCTTGGGACTAGAGTTACAGATGGTTGTGAACCATCACAAAGGTGCTGAGAATTGAACCTGGGTCCTCTGCAAGATCAATAAGTGCTTTTAAGGAATAAGCCAGCACTCCAGCTCTATCTATATTTTCATTAGGTGATTCTGTAACAAGATACTCCTTTAATGGTTGACCCGACGACAGTATGAAAGATGCCAGGGCCACTGCAACATCTTTCTTTATGATTTTCCTTCAGGAAATATTGAATGCTTTTTGTTTGGTTTGGTTCTGAGAAAGAATCATCATCAAATACTTGCTTACAGAGATAAATCATGTCTTAAATTTCTAATGGCAAAGCTTAGAACACAGGCACTTTGGTGTAAGTGGAAGGCAAATAATACCAAAGTTTTACAATCTAATATATTAAAAATGTAAGCACTTAAAATGTAAAGATCTATAGGAATCTCATTCAGTTTATCAAAATGGAAATAATAGTAAAGGCTTTATCAAATATGATTACTTATTTCAAAGAGCAAATATACTCTATATAATTAGATTTACAAGACATAAACAAATGATTAAATATTTATTTAACACAGGCATACAAATGTAAGATAAGAACAAATAAACATTTAACTGTCAAATCGAAGATATTAATAACAAACCCTTTACATTTTATTTTTGTTAACAAAATGTCTAAATCATAATTTTCGGTTTTGTTTTTGTTTTATAGTGTGGAAACTGATCCCAGGGTCTCATGTATAGTAGGTTAAGTGCTGCACCTTGGCCAGGAGCTTCGTTAAGATGACTTACCAGCTCAGACTGTCCACAGTTACCAGTATACTAACAGCTCACTCAAGGCTGAACTAGTTTCCTAAAGGGCCAAAATGTACTGATGAAACAGGCTTTTAAGTCAGTTAAATGAGGTAAATCTTAAAATTGGGAAACCAAGTGAAATAAATATTTAAAACTGCATTTTGCTGAGCAGTATGAGTTTAAAAGCAAAACAGAAGAGTGACAAAACCAGAAGCAGTAAGTGGTGTGAGAGAAGTCTCACATTGGTTTATGCAGCCAATTGTTTATCTTACTGCTTAAGAGATTTTAAGGTTTCAGAAATACTTTTGAATTTATTATTCAACAAGTAGAACACACTACACAGAATATTCAAAGCCACTACCAACAAAAATAAATAAATAAACAAATAAACTTCTACCCAGTAATGTATTACAGGTTTCTTAAAAAATCTTTTCTTTCTGTCACGAAACAGAGAAAGGGTGTAGGGAGAATACAACAAATGGTTTCTGAAAGAAAGACTTTTCACTTAGAAGTTCTGCTTTCTGACTTATACAGAACATCCTGGTCCACAAATGATGGAATGGACTTTTTGAGAGGGAATTATATTGGGCTAAAGAAGTACAGGGTAAAACTAGAGTCCTCAATGAAAGCCTACAAGAAACTGGTGAGTGACCCAAATACAAATAAATGGATGAGGAAAATGTGTAGGAAATGCTGGCTTGTTGCTGTATTTTTTCTTCTCTTCCTCCTTTTTTCCTTCTTTCTGTGTACTTTTTTTTTTCCAGATACCACATCACTGCACCACATACTCTAGGTATGTGTCCTGTTTCTAATACTTTATATATGGTCAGCCAAGGAAAAGAACACCAATAGAAATATTAAAATCTCTTGAAAATGCCATTTCTCTATACATATACAAACCACAACCCAAAGTCCAACCTGGAACCTAGTCACTGACTTTCTGTTGAGTCAAAGTTTGAAAGAGTTCTAATTCACATATAGGCCAAACAGATATTCTGGAAATAAGTCTAGAGACTGCATGTACTCTGAGTCCATCTGCTTTCTAAACTATGAAAGCAAAGGATGAATATGACTTCTCCATCCATAACACAAACCCATAAGAAGTCAGGATGCAAAAAATGACTGCATCTCCTTTGATAGGCAGCACTCATGATAGAGAGATGCAAAGGTTAACTGAGTCTTCACATTCACTGCAGCTTACTTTCCCTTATAAATGATTAAAAATGGTGACTATAGAAAACAGTAAACATATTTTCCATGAGTTTATACATTTTGATTATCAGATAGAGTAAATTAATTAGAATTTCATTATTAAAAATAAGAGATTTATTTGTAAACTTAATAACTTTACTATGTATCTTTACATTCAGAGACTGTACAAGTATTGATGGTACTGGCTTATCTAACATTAAAATGTTCACTCTTCTTACTAATACAAAAGGATGGCTCTTCTTCCCACTCTAAACTCTTTTCTACCATGAAGAAATCTCACTGTACTTGCACAGCGACTGGAGCACTTGACAGACAGGTGTTTGGGACAACAAAAAAGAATCATTACTTTCTTTTTTCTCTTCTCAATTAGAGAACTGAAGATAAGAATACTAATTCTAGTATTACAAGCAAAGCCTAAACATTAGAAAAAGGAGAGAATATGACAAAATGCTTCAAAATACATGCCTGAGGTGAATGGAGATAACTTGTATGTTCATGTGTGGCAGGTTCTGGAGAAAACCTTTCAGTCTTTAATCTTCAGATTCATATCTGGAGATAAAATTAAGAGCATATGGTCATGATCTTTTTTGTTCTTGTTGCTGTCATAACTGAAATACCTCCAGTAACTAGCCCAGGAATGCCATTACTGCTCACTTTCCACGCCTATTGTAACAAAAGTCAGTTATATTCAAGACTAGTGTTATGATGGTGAGTTGGAGTCTATTATCACATCACCTAAGATGTCTTCAGATTCCAGACCAGCATTTGGCATTTAGATCCATGATAGCTTAGTGTAATTATGACAACTCTCGGATCATCAAGAACAGCTGACATGATTATGAGTTAAGGGCTAACAAACCCCTTCCCATTACAAATCTGATCTTGAATTCACTTTACATATATATGTCTTCCCTGAGAACTCTGACAAAGGCAAATGCTAGCTTCAGCTGGATTTCTATGCAAAGCCATTGACCCAACAAGCAAAGGACATTAGCACCAGGAGAACTCATGGAGCATAAATGCCTAGTGCTCCCTTGCTAGCTGCTATTTTTGTGCCATTACCTGCTAATGATCCACTGCCAAGAGCAACCGAGTACAGAGTGGTGAAGAAAATGTCTAGCTGAGCCTAAAAGCAACCCTGGGGACTAAACAATGGGCATACCCAGAGCTTGACTTATTGGTGCCAGCAGGCAAGTGGGGAGAGGAACTCCAAGGCAGGATCAGCCAGCTTACTTTGCCAGTCTTTTCCGTAGGTCTTTGATTTGGTCATTCTTTTTGGTGAGAATCTCTTTCATGTTTCGATAAGCTGCTGTTTGTTGAAATTTCTTTTCTAACTCCTGCTTTGTGAAAAATGTCAGCCCATTACTAAGAAATGTTAAGGAAAGAATAACAAATGTGATAAAAATGTACACTGCCAATTTTCTTATTTCCTTAAAAACATTCTTGTATAAAATTAAAATCGTCTGAACTTTAAAAATATTTTAAAGGAGAAGCCAATAAAACAGTACTATTTTCCAAGGTAACATCATGTTAGCAAGTAACAAGTACACTATGCCCTAGATATGGGATTCTGTATGACATACAAACTAACTTTCATGTAAGATATGTCCAATATTTTTCTAAATCCCCCAATTCTAAAAACCCAAGGAGGAGGATTTTTAATTTGAATGTCTTAACAAGTATTCATTTTTTATTTATGTGTATGTGTACATGAGTTTATGTAAACTACATTCATGCAGAGAACAAGAATTATACGTAGTTGTAAGCCATCTGATGTGAGTGCTGGAAGCCAAATCCTCTCCAAGAGCCTTAACAACTAAGCCATATTTCTAGCCCTTAATTTGAAGTTTTTTAATTTTAGTTCCTAGGACTGGACTGTAGCACAGCTGGTAGAACATTTACCTAGCATGCATGAGTCCTGGATTCCATCCCTAGCACCCATAATACTTTTTTAAAAAATACATATGATTGAAAAAGATTAGATTTACTTATTTATTTTATGTATGTGAGTGTTTCACCTGCAAGTATATATGTATAACACATGAATGCTTGGTGCCCATGGAAGTCAGAAGAGGGCACTGGATCCCTTGGAACTGGAGTTACAGATGGTTATGAGCTACCATGTGGGTGCTGGGAACTAAACTTGGGTCCTCTGTAAAAATAGCATATGCTTTTAACTGCTGAGATATCTCTCATGCCCCACAACCACATTTTTAAGTGTCTACACCCTAAAGTAAAGAATCTACTCTCTATGTATTTCTCATATAAAACATTTTGGAAAAGGTCACACACACACACACACACACACACACACACACACACACACACACACACACACACACACACACCAGCCATCCAGGTCTCTGTCAGGCAGTGGGAAGAACCAGCAGAGAGCAACACAAGGGTGTAGAGTGCAGGGAGCACATGGAGGAAGAAGAGAGCAGTTTGCTTATTATCACAAAGATAGAAGAACATAAGTACCCAGAAATGATACCTCTTCAGAACATACATTGACTAAAACTCAGAGTAAAAATAATCTGACAACTGTCTAGCATTTATCTAGTCAAATTTGTTCCTCTCTGCTGTATGCATTAGGTAATCAGACATGAACAGGTGAAAGCCTTCTGTATGTGTCTCCTGACCTTTTCAGCCATGCTCAGCTGCTCCTGTACTCTGAGGAGGTCATGTTTGGCTGCTGCTAGGTTCTCCTCCAAAGACTTTTGGTTTTCTGTCTTGTCATTAAGTGTTTTCTGAAATTCATTCTTAAGAGCTGCAACTGTGTTTTCCAAGTCATCCAAGTCATGGGCCTTTATAAAATCCTATGAAAAATAAATACATGAATAAAATTTCCCTTGATGTATTAAATAACAGATGTTTTAAAATAGTGATCCAACATCCAAGGAGACAAAGGGTAATGCCGTGTTGTGTGTGCACATAGTTTTTCTCACCCGTTTGGGTAAGTGCCAGTCCCAGCAGGGTTGCCAGCAGGCTCAATCCAGGCTCAGCCTTGGTATACACACAGCAGATACTCAGTAGTCACTGCATTCCAAATATAGAAAATATCATTTCTGAACTGCTAGGATTTCAGTCAAAAATGAACAAGAGAGAAATGAGATCTTAATTTGACCAAGTTGTGTGTACCAGGGTTGGAATGGCAAGTCATTTAGAGAAGGGGGTAGGAAGGTGGGAGGGGGTGTGGCGTGCGTGTGCACCAGAGTTTCTTATAAATCAAGCTGGCCTCAAATTTGCTTTGTAACCAAAGATGACCTCAAACACCTACCCTGCTTTCACCCTCCCAAGTGCTGGGATTACAGGCATGCACCGACATGCCTGGTTTATGTGGTACTAGGGATCATATCCAGGGCTTTGTGTTTGCTTAAGCAAGCATTTAGTTAACTGAGCTATATCCTAGTCCCCTGACAAATCATTCTGAAAAGTCAAATTAAAAATCAAACAGAACAACTCTTCTTTTTTGTCTCCATTCCAACCTCTCTAGACTTATTCTTTGTTCTCGCAGCAGCCTACTTGCATGTGCCTCTCACCACACCTATATTTCTTGGATTCTTCCTTTTGGGGTGGACCCCAGCCCCCTAGCTCTTTCATGCTGCCCTTCTCAGCCTTTCTTCCTAGTCCATCTCCATTCCTTTGTGTTACTCTCAACCTGCAGAAACACTCTTTATTAGGGACTCCACTTGCCTAGAACCCAGAGTGGGCAACAGCAAACAAAGACACAGCTAGATATCTACACCAAGAAACACTTCAAACATCTTAACTCCAGATGCCTAAATCTCAGCACAAAAATACAAAAATCAACAGCCAGTACAACATGCCTCTTCTAGAGGCCAGGAACCTGTAGTAATCGGACCCAAGAAATGCAATCTAGCTGAAGCACCAGACAAGGACTTCAAAATAGCAATTATGAATATGTTCAAGGACCTTAAAGAGGATATAAACAAATGTCTTTATGAAGACAGTGAAAACACAAACAGTTGGATGAAATAATGAAAACATTGCAAAGCATGAAAGTAGAAACCACTGAAGAAAATCCAAACTAAAAACCTTGGAAGTAAGCCCCACCAACAAATTACAAAAGATGGGAGAGAGAATTTCAGGTCTTGAAGACAAGGTAGAAGAAATAGATAGCTCAGTCAAAGCAAATGCTAAATCTTAAAACACACAAACAAAAAATCCACGCCCCAAAATAAATATACAGGAAATCTAGGACACTATGAAAAAAACCAATCTGCAATAATAGGGTTAGAGTAAAAAGAAGAAACTCAGGCTAGAGAGATGGTTCAACAGGTAAGAGCACTAACTGCTCTTCTAGAGGACCCGGGTCCTAGCACCCACATGGCAGTTCACACCTGTCTGCTACTCCAGTTCCGGGGCTTCTGACACCCGCACACAGACATACATGGAGGCAAAACATCAATGAACATTAAATAAAAAGAAATTAAAAAGAAACTTAGGTCAAAGGCACAGAAACTATTTTTAACAAAATCATGGATGAAAATTTACCCAGTCTAAAGAAGGAGGTACCTATCAAGGTACAAGAAGCATATAGAACACCAAACACATAGAACTAGAAAAGAAATTTCCCACAACACATCAAGATAAAAACACTCAATGTATAGAACAAAGAAAGGATGTTAAATACTGCAAGGGAAAAAGACCAAGTCACATATAAAGGCAAGCCCATTTGATAACACCTGACTTTTCAATGGAGACTCTGAAAGTCAGAAGGGCCTGTACAGAGATGTTCTACAAACTCTGAGAGACAACAGATGCCAGCCAAACTATCAATTACAATTGAGAGAAAAAGAAAAATATTCCACAATAGAGCCAAATTTAAGCAATCTACCAATCCAACTCTACAGAAGGCACTACAAGGAAAACTTGAATCTGGAGATGTTAACTACACCCAAAGAGGCACAAATAAACAATTCCAGACAATAAATCAAAAAAGGGGAAAACCCATATCACAACAAAATAACAGGAATCAATAAATATTGCTCATTAATAACTCAGTATTAATGGTCTCAATTCCCCCAATAAAAAGACAGAGATTAACAGATTGGATTAGAAAACAGGATCCATCTTTCTGCTGCATCCAAAAACCACACCTCATCATCAAGGATAGACACCATCTCAGGACAAAAGCATGGAAAAGGGTATTCTAAACAAATGGACCCAAGAAGCTAGCAGGTATAGCCATTTTAATATCTGACAAAATAGATTCAAACCAAAAATAATCAGAAGTGATAAGGAAGGACACTACATACTCATTAAAGGAAAAATCCACCAAGAAGATATTAAAATTCTAAACATTTATGCTCCAAACACAAAGGCATTCAAACTCACAAAAGAAACACAATTACAGCCAAAATCCATATAAACCCTCACATTGTGATAGTGGATGACTTTAATACCCCACTTCGTCCACTCTTGCCAATAGACAGGTCATTCAGACAAAAAATAAACAGAGCAATTCTGGAGTTAAATTACATCACAAATCAAATGGACCCAGTAGACATCTAGTGAAATACTAAACTTTATTCTCAGCAGCTCAAGGAACTTTCTTCAAAATTGACCACATATTCCGATACAAAACAAATCTCAACAGATATACGAAAATTGAAATAACATCCTGCATCCTATCTGACCACCATGGATTAAAGCTGGATATCAACAACAACAGAAACAGCAGAAAGTATACAAACTCATGGGAACTGTGAAACTCACTACTGCATGAAAAATGAGTCAAGACAGAAATCAAGAAGGAAATAAAAACTTTAAAATGGAATGAAATGAAAACATAACATACCCAACCCTATGGGATACAATGAAGGCAGTTCTATGGGCAAGTTCATATTACTAAATGCCTACATAAGACTTAAAGAGGGATGCGTGGATGGCCCTGGGAAGGGGAAATAGATAAGATCTCCATGAGTAAACTGGGGATGAGGGGTGGGCAATGGAGGGTAGGTGATGAGAACATAAGGGAATGGGATGGTTGAGCTGGAACAGGGAGGGAGGGGGAATGCAATGAAAGAGACACCATGATAGAGAGAGACCTCATGGGGATAGAGAGAAACCCGGTGCTAGGAAAGTTGCCAGGAATCCCCAAGGATGACCCCAGCCTGGGCAAGTAGCAATAGTGGAGAGGGTGCCTGAACTGAACTGGCTTGCCCCAGAGATCAGACTGGTGAATACCCCAACTGTCATCACAGAACTTTTCTCCAATGACTGATGGAAGCAGTTGCAGAGATCCACAGCCAATCACCAGGCAGAGCTCTAGGAATCCAGTCAAAGAGAGAGAAGAGGGATTCTATGAGCAAGTTCATCAGGATCATGATGGGGAAACATGCAGGGAAGACCAAACCAAACTAAAGGGGAACTCATGAAAGTTGGATCAATTGCTGTGGAGCCTACATGGGACTAGACTAGGTCCTCTGCATGGTAAAACAGTTATGTAGCTTGATCTGCTTGGGGGTCCCCTGGTGGTAGGATCAGAATCCATCTCCAGTGCATGAGCAGACTTTGTGAAGCCCATTACCTATGATGGGACAACTCATGTGGACTTGCTTCTACTGAATGTGCCTCCCCATGGGAGGCCTTGCCTTCTTGTGGGTGGGAGTGGAGGGGGTAGGTTGGGAGGGGGAAGCTAGGGGGGCAGTGTAGCATGAATCTTAGAAGGTCTTATTAATAAAATCAAACCCGGAGCCAGGAATTGGGGTGAACACTGGAAGATCAGAGAGACAGAACAAGCCACAGCTACCTCACCCGGCCAGCTTCTCAGCTGATCTTGTTTCCTCAGACTGGAAGCCTCTGAGTCCTCATCCAGAATGAATCTCAGCTGAACTGCTGCTTGAAAGCCTGAAAGCTTAACCAGCCAAATGCTTCTAATTTCTGGTCCTCACATCTTATATACTTTTCTGCTTTCTACTACCACTCCCTGGGATTAAAGGCTTGCTTTCTGGGATTAAAGGCGTGAGTCACCAAGTTTGACTGTATCCTTGAACACATGGATTTCTGCCTCTGGAATGCTAAGATTAAAGGTGTGAGTGCCACCATTTTCTGGCCTTTGTATCTAGCGGCTGTTCTGTCTCTGATCCCAGATAAGTTTATTTGGGTGCACAATATTTTGGGGAACACAATACCACCACAGGGCAGGAGGAGGGAACAGGGGGATCTTTGGTGTGTAAACTGAATGAAAAAAATTTTCTTAATAAAAAATTAAAGTTAATAAAATACTGTGTAGGGGGCTGGAGAGATGGCTCAGAGGTTAAGAGCACTGCTTGTTCTTCCAAAGGTCCTGAGTTCAATTCCCAGCAACCACATGGTGGCTCACAACCATCTGTAATGAGATCTGGTGCCCTCTTCTGGCCTGCAGGGATATGTGCAGACAGAACACTGTATATATAATAAATAAATAGATCTTTTAAAAAAATATATTTATAAAAAAAATAAAAAAATAAAACACTGTGTAATCTAAAAAAAACTAAAGAGATCTCATATTACTAACTTATTGAAACATTTGAAAGCACTAGATCAACAAGAATAAATAATATTAAAAAAGAACATATGTGCACAGGGACAAATAGCCAAATGAATGGAAAAACATGAACTATGAACCAATAGCTGAGGAGCCCCCAACTGGATCAGGCCCTCTGGATAAGTGAAACAGTTGATTAGCTTGATCTGTTTGGGAGGCACCCAGGCAGTGGGACCAGGTCCTGTAGTCAGTGCATGAGTTGGCTGTTCGAAACCTGGGGCTTATACAGGGACACTTGGCTCAGCCTGGGAGGAGGGGACTGGACCTGCCTGGACTGAATCTACCAGGTTGAACTCAATCCTCAGGGGAGTCTTTGCCCTGGAGGAGATGGGAATGGGAGGTGGGTTAGGGGGAAGGCGGGGGGGGGGGAGGGGGGAGAACGAGGGAATCCGTGGCTGATATGTAAAATTAAATTAAATTATAAAATTTAAAAAAAAGAACAAATGGCAAGAAATAAACTCAGGGCTGAAATCAAGGAATAGAAACAAAACAAAAAATATAATACAAATAGTTGGTTTGTGGTGATGTATTGTGTCCCCCAATATACTGTGTCCCCCAGTACAATTTATCTGAGGATCAGGGGAAAAAGCCAGCCACTATATTAGACATAGAAGTCAGGCAATGGTAGCACACACCTTTAATTCTATCATTCAGGGATCCATTTGTATCTCTGAGAGTTCAAGGCCTGCCTAGTTATTGGCTATTCAGCTCTTATTACACCAATCATAGCAATATATCTTCACACAGTATACAGATATCCCACAACACTAGACATCTTATGCTACTGAGTAAAACCTCCAGTGTCAGGAATGAGTTACATCTTGTTGAGTTGTTGGCTAAAGCAGCCCCATGGAAACTCAAGCACCACAGCTATTGCTCAAGCTCTTACTTACTCTCTAGAATCTAATGTTAAGGCCCTATTGATGAAAACAACACTTACTCATGTCATTGAACATGAATGAAGTTGAGATGGTGCCTAACTAGAAGCTTCATCCCTACTGACTAGCACTCATAGTACTAGAAGGTACTCTGCACCCTACTGGAGGAGAAAAATAATTATCAGTATGATGCAGGTATAAACCCTGTGACCTACAACAGTGACCTGGTTGTAAGACATACAGGTGTAATAGTCACACAATAGTTGACTATGGAGTAATCAACCACTTTTTGATTAGACTTAAGGCCCACTCCACGAGATGGAACACACACCAGATACTGCTAAGGTGGCCAAAGAACACAAGACTAGCTAGATCACAGGCCTAGGGAAAACATACTAGTATTATTCTGCTACAGGAACACAGCAATAAAATGACATTCTGCAATACCCAAAAATTAGTACCTTGTTCAACCCACATCAGAGAAGCTTCCTGCAGTTCATGGGAACTAACACAGCGATCCACAACTGGACAATGTGCAGAGAGAGAGACTTTGGGGATCTCTGTCCTAAATGATATTTTCATCAAAACTCTCTCCTTAAAGCTCAGAGAGCTATGTAGAAGAGTAGGAAGACAGATTGTACAAGCCAGAAGTGAGGAATGACTCCAAGCAAAGTGTCTTCTGGACACAACAGGCTTGATAAACATATCAATTCACAGAGACTATGGCATCATATGTAAGGCCTGTACAGGTTCAAGACAGGTAGAGTCCTAGCAATGAGAGGGGGAAGTGGACATGGGGTTTGACCTAAAAGGGACCTATAATTGATACCCTCTGGCAAAGGGAAAATCAGTTTTCTCTACTGGAGCCTCACTGGCTCAACCACACACTTCAAGGCAGGTCCCATGCCGAGGAATAATTGCCTAACACAAAATAAACAGAATGGTATTTTTGTGGACCCTTTCTTTCATTTTGGCATATTTTTGTCTTATTGTTCTTTTGCTTTTTTACTTTAATTTTTCCTTTTTGTGTTTTGTGGGAGTTTTTTTTGGTATGTATGTTTCTTTTTGTTTTGAAAGAGATAAGTTGAGAGAATGGGGAGGAGTTGGGAGGAATTGGAGAAAGGGAAACACAATCAAAGTATTTTGTCTAGAGTTTTATAATTAAGAACAAGCAAAAAAAATTTGGATAAAGGGGGAAAACATAGTAAAGATTTTGAATTATGTGGGCTAGCCTGGGCTACATATAGCAAGTTCCAAGCCAAGCTGGAAACAGTGAGATTTTTCTCTCAAAGAACAAGTAGTATAGGTGTAATAGTTAGATTAGTCACATTCATAAAAAATTTAATAGAAATGTTTTAATTATTATTCAAGAAACTATGGAGAACATTACTAATGATTATTGATTATAAGAGTGTCTAAATTTACAAGGTTTTATGTTTTTCCTGTTGAGTTATATACACTTCTGCAGAATTTGACAACTGCATTACCAATCTTACATCTGAATCTTGCTTTTGACTGGGTAAAACTTTTGACAGAAAAAAAGATCTGCATTGGTGCAACAGAAAATTGCCTATAATTGCTTGATATGAGGATGAAGTAGTGTCTTCAACAAAATGAAACAATACTTGAATTTTAAAATATTTAGTCTTTAAAGAGACCTTCCAACTAGTAAAAGCATGTATCCACTTTGCTTTTGAATCAAATAGTAAACAAATGGCTTTTAAATAAATTCATCACCCAAAAATGTTTGTAAATGTTTAACTTACCCAAAAATGTTTGTAAATGTTTAACATTTGAACACTGAAGTTATAAAGCTGTTCTGGAACACTCTCCCCCCTCCCCTTCACACACACACACATACACACACACTTTTTTCCCCTTAGTCATATAAGAAATATTGTATCAATAAGTAGTTACAGAAAAATAATGTCTGAGACTTGCTTCACACAGACATGGATGAAGGGAAGAAGGCACAAGTAGGAATGAAGCCAGACTGGCCACGCCGGGTGATTGTAAGGCTGAGCAGTGCGCTCATGGGGGTTCATTACACTACTCTAGGTAGTTTTGCATGTTTGAATTTTTTTCATAGAAAAAAGTTTAATAAAACCTAATGAAGTCTGGGGATAAAGCTCAGTATGGGAGTGTTGACCTAGCATGTATAGCTCTGGGCACAATACCCATTCCATAAAAAAGAAAAAAAATTATGTTTGAAATGAAAAAAAGAAAAACATACAGAGGTAGATTTGAAGATTGTTTAGCAGACACTTACAATGACAACCACAGAAAAGACAATTCTACAATGAAAATTCACCACATGGCCTTGTTCATATGAAATCGAAATACCATGTCACACTCAGTGGGAGGACCACAGGAGAGGCAATGCTATACTAATGGACTCCAAGCAGGTGGAGCAACATTCAGTTATTATTCTCAGGTAGGCTTGCAGAGCTACCCTCTGGATATCGCTGTATCCCACAGCATGCTAGATACAAATGAAGCTCATAACCAATAAGTCTCTCTCACTGTCATCTCATCCAAGGAAAACTCAAGTAACATTCAGAATAATAAAATCCAAATGTAAATTTTCCTCAACTTCTCCCACTCCCCAACTCTAATTAGGTATAGGTGGGAAAGGAGAAAAAATTAATAATAAATTTAAGAACATCTTGCTTGTTATTAAAATTTCTAATGTATGCTAGTCCTGTGAGCTATGACTCTTCCTTGAAAAATGGACAAAGGATGGAGTTTCTGAGCCAGGGAATCTCAATGTAAGATAGCAATAGCATTCAGCAGAGAGAATGGCAGGGGTAGACAGAGCATGAGAACAGTGATTATAACTAAAGATTCTAACTATTTTTTTAGAAGATGTGGAAAAGATAGATAAAATTGTTTTACCTGTTGATTTCCTTGATCAAGCTGTAAATCTTGAAGTGTTCTTTCCAATTTTGACTTTTCATCCAAAGCATTTGTAGCCTAAAATCAAATGTAAACAGGATACACTCAACTTTTACTCTCTAGTTTAATTTTTCAGTAACTGTATTGAAGGATTTCTCAGTTACCTGTATTTCAATGGTCTTCAGTCTTGACTTTAATTTCTCATTCTCTTGTTGAAGTCTTAAAATTTCCTTTGTGAGTAAATTCAAATTTTATTATTATTTTAAAGATTTATTTTTATTTTATGTCCATGAGTGTTTTGCTTATGTGTGTGTATATATATAATGTGCATGCCAGTGGAGACCAGATGAAGGCATAAGACACCCTGGTAATGGAGTTACAGATGGACGTGAATTACCATGTGGGTGTTTGGAACTAAGCCAGGGTTTTCTACAAAAGTAGCAAGTGCTCTTAACCACTGGACCCTTTCTCCAGCTTCCAAATTTTATTATTTTAACCAAAATATATTTAACACTTGAAATGATAACTGCTTGTTTTATTTAAAAAATAACCAAAATTATGCAATGGTTCAAAAATCCAAATGCTCTGGTTAGGAGTAAAATCCTACTTTCACAAAGCCTGTCCCAACCCCATAGCTGTGAGTCAAGTTTAGCTCAAAGACTTAGTTACTTTTTGCTCAGAAACACCTTTTCTCTGTATGTTCTCTGTATTCAGCCATTCTCTCTCACCTAGCTTTCTGATTCTGCAACTTGGCTACACTGCTGCCACTTAACCCTGAAAACACACTACCTTCATCATTTTAGTACCCAGTACTCCAGCTTCTGTATGGCTCTGAGGGGAGGCCAAACACCTTTATTCATATGCAGTTCTGATGAGATGCAACGACCTGACCAGTCTGATTTTGTATTTTACTCCAATGTACATGCTGGACTGCTCAGAGGCCCCTGTGCTCTGTTATTCTAAGTCATGCCAACCTTTTGTTTGCTTCTGGCCAGTACCCATTCTGCTCCTTTGCCCAACATGCCCCCTTTAACTTAACCTGTCTTCATCTTTAAGACCCAGCTCAGAGGCTACATCATTCAAACATCTGTTCTTATCTCTTCCCACCCACACAGAACTATGTCACCCATAGGACCCTTTAGTTCTCTCATCTCTGCTTCTGTAAATGTTAGTTCCAACTTCCCAATGAAATGATAACAGTTTGGAGGGTGTACAGGTACTGTACTGCTTTTTAAGTGTAACAAAATCTGACATGCATAATGCCAAGAATATGGAGTTGAGAAAAAATTTTTATGCTGATAACTTCTATAAGCATTAAAAAAACTTAACATTTTTGTGGATCACAAATTTCAAATACACACCCAGAAAAACGTAGTTCAAAATTCCATGCTGTACACTTTACTATGAAAAGATCTATCAGTCACTTTAGACTCTACAAAGTAGGTATACCCTCTTCTGGTCACTGAGTTCCATTCAGTAAAACTGTGACAGACTATTTCTCTTACCCTAGCATTACTCAGGAAATGGGGGCAGAACCAAGGTTTTCCCTTTTCCCAAAATAATGAGAATATTACCTTGTTTAGCAGTTCTGTTGTTCCACCTTCATTAATTGGAACAAGTTTAGGCTTTGTGATATCTATGATGGGCTGTAACAAATGAAGAAACCAATCTAAAATCACCACAGAGTAAAGCAAGAATCATTAAACATTTGCACTTTCTAAGTGGAAGACATATCTATAAAAAATCCACCAGGACTTCAGTTCCACAGATGTAATGATTCTTGTTGGGTTCATTCTGTTATGTTCAGCGCCTATGATGTGCCAATATATGACAGAGATAAAAATGAAACCCAGCCAGGCATTGTGGCGCATGCCTTTAATCCCAGCACTCAAGAGGCAGAAGCAGGAGGATCTCTTTGAGTTCTAGGTCAGCCTGGTCTACAAAGCAAGTTCCAGAACAGCCAGGGACACATAGAGAAACTCTGTCTTAAAAAAAAAAACCAAACCAAAACCAAAACCTAAACCAAACCAAACCAAACCACAACAAAATACCCTTTCAAAAGAAACCCAACTTCCCTGTACCTTTTTATCCATACAGATGGAAAGGAAGGAGACAAGGAGCTCATAGCCAGACTTGATAAAAAAAATCTCTAGCTTCTAGGACTAGAATTTTCATCTGTGGTAGCTGAAAATAATTTCTGTATGAACCTTATACCATGAAGTTGTAATGGCTAAGGAATTACAGATGAACAATAACTTAGCACAAATATTTGGGTATTTTAATAGCCCTCTGACCCAAAATTTTTTTAGTCAGAAATATGTTACAAAGAGTTATTAGAAAATGTTTTCTGTTTGTCTATACATGGATTCACCTCAGTAGTGTTTAGCTATCTGGCAAGAGGGACTATTAATAATTTATGGTGTATCTAGTAAGTGACACCACAGCACATAATTGTTTAGAAAGACAACCAGGCTGTCTCCACCTCCTGTCTTGGGTAACCTGCCTATGGCACACAGATAAGAAGCAGAGTCAGGATATAACCATAGGTCTGATCACCATAAAGAATATGCACTGCATCAGTTGAATGAAGGGTTTACAAGGCCTGGGATTCAGACTAGACTGCAGGGAGTGTGTGCGTGCGCATGTGCGTGAGTGCGTGAGTGTGTGTGTGTGTGTGTGTGTGTGTGTGTGTGTGTGTGTGTGTG